GAGCGGAATGGAGCTTAACAATGCCTGAATCATTACTGGAATGATAATCCGCGTCTCTTTGTCCTCACTTCCCATGCACCAGAACAGGCCTAAAAGGGCAGTCCAACCGGAACAAGCGCTTTTGGCAGGAATAGGCTTTGCGTTTTTCTGGCGATTTCAGGCTGGCATGTACGTTTTGTTGCGGCCATGCCATGTGCCAACAAGTGACCTTATTTGGGTAGGTATGCTCGGGTTGGAAGAACCCTTCTTAAACGGTTGAATCTACACAAAAGTCGAGGCGAAGACCTCTCCCAAAGAGGTGATTCAAACATCACAGGATACCATGCCACGCACCTTCCCGATAGGGACGCTGGACAGTGGTTTTCTACGGTGCACACAGTCGCTGAGACTACATGGCGTCGCCTGTCAACCACCCTGACAAAAACGGCAGGCACCGCGGGGATCGATCCCGTACCTCCAGCGTTCCAGGCAAGCAGCCTAACCACTGCACTATCGGACCCACGGAATTAATGGAACCGCTTTTTGGATCACATTCGCCATGATAAGAGACGCAAAACTGCAACGTACCGATTAAACGATGTTATGGGGCAAATGTCGGTCATATTGACAGTACTCACGTTTCATGCCGGGCTTATGATCACAACACACCTACTTTGCAAGCCTACTTACCAGACTCTAGTTTGATTCTAAACGTAGTCTAAACGCAGCCCATTCTTTTCTTTCGTCACGCGTTCGACGCCGATGCAGCTGAAGTGACAAATATCTCTACCGCGTGTACTCCACCGAAAAATAAGGCCAATCATAGCCCATTCAGCGCGTAGTCCGATTTCATCTACCCCGGCGTTGCGTTCACGACTGGTATGTCACCGACCGCACACCTCGTGCCGCACTTACCCGAGGCCGGCCCGCGGTGCGGCCGGCCAGCGGCCGCGGCGCCGGCGCCGGCGGCGAGGCGCGAGCGTCGCTCACGACGGCCAGCCGCCCGCGCGCCGCCGAGCCAGGCTGTCGGCCCTCACGGCGTCCCATGACACACTGCCGGTGGCGGGCGGGCCGGCGCTCGCCTGACGTCGCTAACGATTTCCCGTCGAGGGAGGGATGCCGCCTGACCGGCCAGCCGTCAGGGCGGGCGGCGACCGTCCCCGGAGCCCGGCCCAGTGACCGCCCTGCCCCCGGGACCCGCCGCGAGCCGCGCCCGCTTTGGACGCCCGCCGACGCTGATCTTGTTTGCCGGCGGCGCGCGGAGCGGGCCTCCCCGGGCGCGCGGGGCCTCCCCGGGCGCGCGGAGGCTCTCCCGTCTCCGGCGGACACATACGACGCCCGCGGACCGCGGCAGGCTCCGGCCGTGGGTCACGATCGCCTTTCCGTCCCTGCTGGGATGCATTCTAGTGCAGTCCGCGACGCAGGCCGGCTGCAGCAGTCGCTGGCGATTGCGCTTCAGAAGGTGTGAAACAATTGATGTGGGTTTTCATACTTTTGCCAACACGATGACTATATCTGACTTGTAATGTGAGGCATGGCGCGCTGCACGGATAGATTAAACCCACACCTTGTGTTCCCCTCTGGAATAATCGACAGAAAGTTATGAGTCGTCACGCACGTGACGGATGTGCGTGACGGCTCGCATTCCATGACCACCCGCCGGCAGGTGAGAGGTCCGTGACGACCTGCTATTCTGAGGGATGGGCGTCACATGCAATAGGCAATACGGAATGGAGACGCGCCGCTCCGCCGTTGTCAAGGGTCAAGGTGAAGGCAAGGCTAATGCTGCCGGCATTACGTGTTTTGTCACCAGGGGCGCAGCCGGGAGCTCATTGATGGGCGGAGGGGGAGGGGAAGGAGGTGGAAGAAACGCATCACGTCGATTTTTAAATTTGTTTCAGGAGCCATCGGTCGTAAAAAGGGTACAATGCAGCGGTTTTTCTGGGGGGGGGGGGGGGGGGGGGGGGTCACCCTCCTACTCGCCACTAATGCGCTTGGTAAAGAATGCCATTGGCGATTGCACCGGAATCAGTGCGTGTCGTGGCACTTGTTATTTAAAGCCAGCCGACACGTTTCCTGAGCCGGATTTTTGCACCAAGCCTATTGAAATAAAAACGCTGCTCAATGGGTGGAAACAGCGAGGAGGGCAATTCAGCGCAAGTGCGGTTAGTCGCTCTTGCGTGAGCTGTGTTACTCGTGCCTGGCCATGCCACTCACTTATTTAAACCGTTTAGTGTCACGTTTCTGAAGCCGGAGGACATTTTCTCGATCTTCCACTTCACCCATCTTCAAAACAGGAGAGGCTTCCTGAATGCTGGCAACGGAGCATCTAAGGACGTTTGTGTGCGTGGGTCCATATGTAAAAAGGATGCAGTTACACTCCTTGTAAAAATGCCCATGGCGCGTGGGCCTAGCCCAGATATTCCTACGGGGCGCGGACAGGGCTGTTGGCTATACATCTCGCCGATATTTTTACTTTTCTGTCGGGAGCCACCTGTGATGAAATACGGAAAAAACCGGGATTTAGGGGGAACGCCTCCCCTACGTCCCCCTTGGCCGCACCCCTGCCAGGACTGGCCTATGGAGAAGGTATGCTGAAACCTAGTCAGCAAGAGGACGGCTTTTTGTCCATTCGGACTGCACGGTGGCATCATTGTCAAGGCAACATTTGACATGTTTAGGGCTAGAGCGATCTGCCCTCGTGAACGTGCCTCAAAGGCCACCTTGTTTGCTTACTTTCGGATTACTGTCGCGAGCAGTTTAGTAGACATCGCACTTTTGTAGGCGACATATCCAGATAGTCGATAGAGATATAGATGGTTGATGGTAGTTGCACGTCTGGAGCTCCTTTGGCTCTAGCTCTTGATCTGTCAGACAAAACATATACTGAACCAATCGAAAGACTGGCCAGTTTATTCTTAATGCAATTGTGCACGCCAAGCCCGGCACTGCCAACAATGTGTACACCAAGCCCGGCACCACCGGCACCGGCAAGCCAGGTTCCATGTCTCGCCATAATATGCTTATTTTTATCGCCACGACCGCTAATTGCTTAGTGATCACCGCCCTTTCAAAGCGTTTGCTGCCAGTTTTGCGCGAATGTCATTTGGTGCCCACAGTGCCAAACCGATGGGAAAAACCATTTTGCACGCCAGGCACACCCGCGTCCACAGCGGCGGCCAATCGCCACTAGCCCTTGAGCATCTTCATGCGCGCATGCGCGGCCCGCGTAGATTGCACTTTCGGATCACAATCAATGCAATCTGTATATTGCGACGTAAGATTGCACAAAGACACGAATACCCGAAGATGCACATTTCGATGTAACGCGAATGATATTAGCGTGTTAAACGTAATCAGCGTAGTCGTAATCGCATGAGTTAGTTGTTGCTGGTTAGCTCCGCCTCCCACCGCATTTCGCGAAGTTTTCAGCCCCCATGTGAAAAGTGATGGAATAGTTCCCACATGTTTTCAAAGAAGACGGTTACAGCAGGCATGGGTGGAAAAATGCGCAGGTATGTTTGGAGCACCTTGGCCCTCCATGCTTGTCACAACCTTTCCATATTTGACAAGTCATCGGAAATTTGCACAAAATCGTCAGCAAAGCAAAGCACCTTATGTTTTTGAGAAACGCTGGTCTCCGATACCTTAAGGTTCTCTTATGGAGCTTCTATCATGCGAAATGGGCAGGTGCTGAAAGCTTGCTATTTAAACGTCTGACTCAAAATATTTTCTACATGGACGCAAGTCAGTTTTTAAACAAAAAGTGGTATTCTTTGATAGTCATTCATAAACTGGGTTAAAACTAATATTACTGCCGAGATACAGCTCGCGTGGTAATGGTGCTTGAGCCACACGCGGAAACAAACGCTTTCTTCACCAGCTCGCACTCAGATATTCACACATTCCAAAACAGCGTCCGGGAATTGCAGCCCAGGAGGCGCATCACAACTTCATCCCCGGGACGCCCTGCTGGTAACCGGGCGGGGAGGCGACCAGCCACGCATGGCGTGGCAGGCCAGCTGCAGCGTCGGCGGCTGGGCGGGCTGGATCGGTCGGCAGGCTCTAATGACGTCAGTGCCGCGGCCCGGCCCGGCGGGCTCTAGTGACGTCAGCGCTGCGGCCCGGCCCGGCGGACTCTAGTGACGTCAGCGCTGCGGCCCGGCAGGCCGGAGTGACGTCAGTGCCGCGGCCCTGCCGACTCTAGTGTCGTCAGCGCTGCGGCCCGGCCGGCGGACCGGTGCCCGCGGGGTGGGGCTGCACCGCACCTCTCCCGTCCGGCTGGTCAACAGCACTCGGCAATGCTCGGAACCCTGCGGCGTACCAGGCACCCCGGTTAGCACAGCGGCCTCATTACGTGGGGCGTGCTATTCATTCGGTTTTTACGTCTCTGCCCTCCTCAAGTTTAACATGGTGCTGATCGTAAACGAAGCTGTACACGCCAAAAGATAATTGTAAAAAAACTTTTTAACCAAAATAACTGAATAGACTGGTCAACTTGCTTTCATTCCCGGAACGAGCTCCAAGTAGGCTGCCAGTTCAGCAGTTATTGCAAAACTAGATATCACTGAATGAATGGAACAACTCCAGATGCACATATCACATGACGACGCCCACGACTCCACACAACTTACCTGAAAAGTGATTGGACAATGCGGCCCTTCACAGCTGGAGTGAAGACAAACGGGCAAAAAAAACAACATCCGCGATATTTTTCTTACCCTATAACTATGAATTTTCACACATTTTAACACGCTTTGTTGAAGGTGAACTCCCACAAAATCTGCGCGGCACGTCTGCCAGCATAACAGCCTTCCTGACCTTTAACTATCGGCTGTTGTTGCATCATCCAGCCGATGCCGTGACGCGTCGCTACCCCCGCGCTCCTGAAGAGACCGTGCATCGGTCTCACAGGCGGCCCGTCCGACCGGGTCGTCTTGCCGTCCGCCGGGTCTATAACGGCTCGTGCCTGTCCCTCGGCCGGCTGTTCCTGAGGCGCGCCGGCACACGGCGTCGTGCCGTCATCCCGCTGCGGCGCCGTCCGGCCGGCGCCGGCCGGCGGGCCGCGCGCCCACGCCGCGCCAAGCCTTTGCACGCGCCATCCGGCAGGCGGCGCCACCGGCGACGTGCGGGTCACCGACGCCGCCGCCGGCTCCAGCGTCACGCCAGCGTGTGGGAGCCGCAGCGCCGCCGCCGGGCCGGGCTGCACGTCCAGCCGGCCCGGCCCGGCCACTGCGCCCTCCTCGCAGCCCGGCTGCTTGCCCGCGGCGCCCGAGGCCGGCACGCCGCGCCGCCCCTGGGCCGCTGACAGCGCCGCGCCGTCCGTCGTCTCGGGGCTCGGCGCCGACGGCGGCTGGCTGCGGGCAGCGGCTGCGGCCGAAGCCGTACTGTCGGCACCGGCGAGCGCGCAGCGGCCGGGCTCCGCAGACGACCTGTCGGCTTCCCGGCGGACGACGATGTCCGCCTGCCGGGGCTGGGAACTGTCCCACTCTTGGGACCGGGCGTGGCCTTGCTCTCTCGACTGGGAGCGGCTTTGCTCTTCAGACATGCAGTCGTCTTGCTGTTGGACCTTCGGGACGCCTCGCAGCAAGACGGGTGCCGGGCCCGCTGCCGAGTGCGCTCGGATGATGTAGTCGCTGTCCTCCATCAGCTGCACCTCTCGGTCAAGGCCGGTCCACGCTCCAAGCTGAACCTTCGGCGGAACGTATGGTCTCCTCTTCACCCTGTAATATCGCAAAAGTGCTGTTGGCACACGCAAACGCACACACACACACACACACACACACACACACACACACACACACACACACACACACACACACACACACACACACACACACACACACACACACACACACACACACACACACACACACACACACACACACACACACACACACACACACACACACACACACACACACACACACACACACACACACACACACACACACACACACACACACACACACACACACACACACACACACACACACACACACACACACACACACACACACACACACACACACACACACACACACACACACACACACACACACACACACACACACACACACACACACACACACACACACACACACACACACACACACACACACACACACACACACACACACCACACAACCACATGCACGCACGCACGCACGCACGCACGCACGCACGCACGCACGCACGCACGCACACGCGCGCGCACACGCACGCGCACACGCACGCGCACACGCACGCACACACCCACGCACGCAGCACGCACGCACGCACGCACACAGGTATACATACATATGTAAATAAGTGAATATATGTATTTATTTATCTCAACAGCACCTCATGGCTTTAACCAAGACGTGAAGAATGCTGACAACCACTCCGTTAAAGCTGTTCGAGGTCACCTCCTATCGCACTGTGATGCTATCTACAATTATCTAACATCAAGCCCCCTCAATGTCTAACTGCTTGTCAGCACGTCTGCTTCTCAACTATAATGCCTCTCACGCTCCGAGGCACAAGCTCAGCAGTAGGGACCAAGTGTGTGGTCAGTGTTTCAATATTCGACCACGAAGTGGCAGGCCTGTAGACGTTTTTCATGCTTCATTCCCCGGCCGGAGCACACTGCCCGTTGCTCCTCCTCTTGCTCAAGATCGGCCAATCAGCATCGAACCAGGCAGTGGTCAGCACAACCTCAGGGCGTCTCGGGCTTGTTAAATCAGTCGGGAACGTCAAAGCCGCGTTTCCCACCGCCAAACGCCGTCTACAGGTTGCAGCCTATGATGTCACAGGTAAGTGAGTCACAGTAGTTCGTACGGCTCGGAGTGCAGCCGCTCGCGTGTGACGAAGGCACTTGTGACGTCATAGGTAACAGCTCCGGCAGGCACGTTACCATTAGGGAACGCGGCCCATATATCAGGGTTCGGGGTCAAAGGACAACAGATTAGCGACCAATGAACTGCGCTTGTGGAGGCCGTCGGGGAACCCGAACTCTGGCAGCACGAATTTATACTTACCTCTTGCCCACCCTGCTGATTGAATGCAATGATGCTGAGTGGTCTTGGGCTGACCCTTTTTTGACAGACTAACGCACACTACATCATATCGTTCCATGACATTGGTGACGTTAATGGATGGTTTCACATACCCATTGTTCCGGAAGTTCCGGCGGCGCGAGCTGGGCAGTGGCAGCGCCATCGAGCAGCAGTCACCAGAGGACCCCCTCCGCACTCAACTGCGAATGCTGGTGCGCGCCGTAACCTCGTCTCGACCGGGCCGCAGCAGGCCATACATCACCTGTCGGCTGCCGCTGCCGCTGCCGCTGGCTTCTGTGGCACCTCCGGCGGGTCCAGCTCCGACTCGCAGCTGGGACGAGTGCGCGGTGGAGTACAGCGGCCACGGTCGGACAGCGAGGCATTGCCCACGCTCTGGACGGCCGAGGAATCAGCATGTCCCATCACGATCTGCGGACATTTTTGGATTTAGTCGGAGTCCCCTTGATTTTGTGTCTTTATGGATCACCGCCCACGCTAAGTAGCACATATTGCACGAGCCCCAGCCCCACCCTCCGAGCGTATAATTCTGGGTCAGAGGTATAATTTCACGGCGAAAGCTTAACGTGCCGCAATGCTCGGCACGGTCCACTGTGACGTCACCTAATATTTAGCCGCCCAATATACTGCCACCTGATATACTGCCACCTGATATTCAGCCGCCTGGTATTTAGCCGCCTGATATACTGTCACTTGATATTTAGCCATCCGATATACTGCCACCTGATATACTGCCACCTGATATACTGCCACCTGATATACTGCCACCTGATATGCTGCCACCTGATATACTGCCACCTGGTATTTAGCCGCCTGATATACTGCCACCTGATATTTAGCCGTCTGGTATTTAGCCGCCTGATATACTGCCACCTGATATTTAGTCGCCCGATATACCGCCACCTGGTGTTTAGCTGCCGGGAGCTGCCGCCGGCTGCAGACCATCCCAGCTGGGAGAAAATAGAGCGCCCAAAGCGCTCTCTATTTTTTTCTCTATGTCTCAAAGCCGTTCGGGGATCAGGCCCCCAGACAGGTTGTCAGACATCTGATCCAGTGGCGAATCCTGGGGGGGAGGGGGGGGGAGGGGACATGGGGCCGTGCTCCGTCATTGGGCCGAAGACGCACCGCAGTCTCGTGGTGAAGAGGCACCAAAATCCTTATTTCAGGAACGCTTAATCTTTGTCTTCAAGACGCACCAAAGTTCAAAGGCGCCACAAACGGCCCTTTGAACACAAAAAACCAAAGACAATTTACTTCTAGAAATGGCGTGGACTAAAGCCAGGAACCATTCTGGCGTAAGATATGCTACCACTAAAAGATAGGGTTTGAGAATAAAGTGGCCGAAAGCCGGGAACTTCTTGGTGAGATAATCAAGGGGGGGGGGGGGGCACCAAGTTCTAGGAGGCACCGCAGTGAAGCGCGGCCCCTCCCTTGGCGAAATCCTAGATCCTTCCCTTGTTCTGATCACATACCTGCTGTCTGGGAAGCAGTGTGGTTTTCGTCACTTCTGATTCTGACATGTTTCTCAGTTCAACGACGGTGTTGGCGCTATCAGAATCGCTGATAATATTCCTGTGGCCCATCTGACCGTTCGACTCACTGCCTTCACTCAATCTTGAGGACCTCCCTGTTTGAATTTGCCCGGAGTATGCAGCGCCAGGCAATACTGGGCTGTTCTGATGAGCGGCCTCCACATTGCCGTGTGATAGCCTATCCCTCTTGGTGGCCGGGCGCGACACCGCCCTGTCTTGGGTATAGACCACCGGCAGTGTTTCGACGACGTTAAACTGCCGCACATGTGCATAGGCCGCTGTGGAGAGCGACATTATTTTGGCGCCTCGATCGGAATCAGAGCCGGATTTCGATGCTCTTCCCGACGCACGCGCCTTGGCGTCCAAACTGTGCGCCACGTGCTTTACCGGGGAGACGCCCCTCTCCGGCTTGGAGACAACTTGATCTTTGTGCCTCGACCTGCACCTCGCTGGCAGACTTCCGTACTTGCTGTCCGAAATTGGCGCTTGCTCTTCAGCCTCTGGCGTCGCGGTCCTGGTCGCCGCCTCCGCTTGCAAGCTGGACGACGAACTTCGCCTGAATTTACCAATCGCTGTTCGCTCTTCACCAGCAGAGTCGGGACTAGAAGGACCGTTGCCGAGCGGTGGCACGACATCCCCCTGCGGGGTCTGGCACACCGATCCAGGAACAGACGCCACGTCTGCATGTCTTCGGGTCAGGCTGGAGGGAAGGTCCCCAGCCGGTAGGTCGCTGTTGCTCTCTGAAACGGTCCAGCCAAAACGTGAGATAGTTTAAGCGTATCCATGCACACGGATAAATAATGGGATTTCGGTGCAGCTGAGGATATCCAAAATCGTTTGTATGTGGGCCCAAGCAATCGGGATAATGCTACCGATTAACCCGATGCATAACACACCCTTATGAATCCTACATACAAAAGAAAGCAGGCCACAGCCTTAATCGTTACCGACCGTTGAGGTAAGCGCAGCTTGAACAGCAGTGCGTATACCATCAACTCAGGGGAAATACTGCACAACCACTGCAAGCGTTGGCTTATACTCGCACTATGTAGATCTGAATAAACTCACCTTTGTGTCTGTTTTGCAAATCACCCACAGCAAGTAGCGCGTCGTCGGATGACGCGCTCTGATTCAGGTCCTCGACGCCATGCCATCTCTCGTCCTTCTCCAGAGGCGGTCCGTCGCCATCCAGTCCTGTCCGCTCCCGTCCACCCGTATATTTCTTGTTCCCCTGGCGACGAGGTCTGTCCTCTGACTGCTCGCGACGCACTTCTCTGAATCCCTTCACTTGCCCTCGGGCGTCGCTCCCGACGCCGCGCGTCGCGCAGCCGCCCTCTCCCTCCGCGGCGCCGCGGTCGCCCTCCGCGCCCTCGGCACCGCTCGAGGGGTCTCCTGTGCGACGCTCGCCAGCAGTGCTGTCTGCAAACCGGTAGGCGCCGACAGCCGGGGGCGCGCGAGGGGCCTCGTCGGCGTGACCCCCTCCGTTTCCGTCGGCCAGAGCGGCGCGCGCGACGTCGTCCTTGAGCAGGCTCGGTCGCGATGCGTGCGGCGACGCTGAGCTCGACGCGGGCTCGCACGGCTCGCTGACGGCGCCGCTCCGGCGCGGCGCCTGGCCGGCGGGCGTGGGCGAGGAAGCCCCCGAGTCACGAGCGGCCACTTCCCCAGCGCGCGCAAGGTCGTCCGACCCCGCGGCGGACGCGCCTCCCGACTTGTGCCAGAACGGCGGAGACGGCGACGCAGCGGGAGCCAGCTCCGGCGGCTGGCGACCACACGGCTCCGGTTCCGGTGGCCTCGGAGCAGCGGGGGCTCGCTCCTCTGGTGCTGGTGGGGCGAGAGCCGGCTCCGGTAAGCTCGCAGCTGCAGTTGCTGATGGAGCGGGAGCCGGCTCCTGTAAGCTCGTGGCTACGGTCGCTGATGAGACAGGAGCCGGCTCCTGTAGGCTCGCAACCGCGGGAGGATCGTCTTCTGGTACTGATGCGTTGGAGGCCCGCTTCCTCTGCGGAACGAAGCGTGGCGCCGGGTCCGGTGCGGTCGGCCGGGGTTCAGCGGGCCCGGGAGTGGTGGGTGGTGGTGGCAATCCCCGGGTGCGCGGTGTCGTAGTCGCTGTAGCCCGCATCGGCAGCACTGGCGGCGCTCTAGTCGGCTCCGGTGGCGGCGGCGCGCGGCGCTTCCTGGCCATAGCAAAGAGGGTCGCGTCGATCTCCAGGTCGTCGTCGTCCTCGAGGCTAGGCGGCGCCGCCCGCCGCGACTCGGGTTGCCCCCGCTGGCGGGGTCGAGGCTGTGACGGCGGGAAGGCCAGGGCGCGCTCCGTCCCTCCACTCCGAAACAGGCCTGCAAGAGAGCGGGGATCCAACTCAACTACAGATATTCGTCTGAGTGGGATCGACCATAGAGTGCGGGCTGAGATACTGGGTCGTTGAGCAGGATGATGACGGTGGAAAATAAGGGGAGGTGGGTTGTTGACTGAGGCTGTTTAGATTTCTGCCAGCTTAGAAACTTGAACGAAATCTAAACATATCGTGCATTTTAATGCTGTAGGAGCAACGCATAAACATTTGTTTATTTCAAATGCTATACACATACACCCAAGGTCCCGCACGAACGCGTCATCCGAGTGTTTATAATGCACTCGTTTCTGTTAATGCGCTCCCATTGCCGGGCTGGTCCGTCGCCGAGTTTGTGTCGATTGTCTGTGTTCCTGTATAACACTGCTGTGTGAGATACGTTGCTGTCCCGAGTCACCTGGCCAGGTACGCCCCTGTCCTGTCCCGGTCCACCTGACTGGGTGCGTCGCTGTCCCGGCTCACCTGGCCTTGATAAGTCCCTGTCCTGTCCCGGCTCACCTGACTGGGTACGTCTCTGTACCGACTCACCTGGCCAGGTACGTCCCTGTCCTGTCCCGGTCCACCCGGCTGGGTATGCCTCTGTCCCGACTCACCTGGCCAGGTACGTCCCTGTCCTGTCCCGGTCCACCCGGCTGGGTATGTCTCTGTCCCGGCTCACCTGGCCAGGTACGTCCCTGTCCTGTCCCGGTCCACCCGGCTGGGTATGTCTCTGTCCCGACTCACCTGGCCAGGTTCGTCCCTGTCCTGTCCCGGTCCACCCGGCTGGGTATGTCTCTGTACCGACTCACCTGGCCAGGTACGTTCCTGTCCTGTCCCGGTCCACCCGGCTGGGTATGTCTCTGTACCGACTCACCTGGCTAGGTACGTTCCTGCCCTGTCCTGGCCTGCGCGGTTGGGTACGCCCTGTACCAAGTCACCTGGTGAGGTTCGTCTCCGTCCCCGTTCACCCGGCGAGGCTCATCCCTGTCCCCGCTCACCCGGTGAGATTTGCCCCTGTCCTGGCCCACCTGCTGAGGTTTGCCCTGTCCCCGCTCACGCGGTGTTGCTCGTCCCTGCCTCCGCTCACCTGGTGAGGCGCGTCCCTGCCTCCGCTCACCTGGTGAGACGCGTCCCTGCCTCCGCTCACCTGGTGAGGCTCGTCCCTGTCTCCGCTCACCTGGTGAGGCGCGTCCCTGTCCTGATTGGCGGAGGATCGTGTGCGGCGTCGCTCCTCGCGCCAGTCTCAGAGCGGAACCGGACGTGGGTTTCACTGGAGGCCGCTCGGACGCGCGCTGCTTTCGAAGGGCGACCTCGGCCTCGGAGCTGGGGAGTCGGCCACCAGCCGCGGCTTGCCGACCCAGACGGATGCTCCGGACCCGCCGTTGACTCCGCCGATGACAACGTGCTCGTCCGGCTGGCGGCGCAAGCGGACCGCTGAGTTTCCAGAGAGGTGCCCTGAGTTCGAGGTGCCCTGAGTTCGAGGTGCCCTGAGTTCGAGGTGCCCTGAGTTCGAGGTGCCCTGAGTTCGAGGTGCCTTGAGTTCGATGAGTCTTGAGTTCGAGGTGCCCTGAGTTCGAGGAGCCCTGAGTTCGAGGTGCCCTGAGTTCGAGGAGCCCTGAGTTCGAGGAGCCCTGAGTTCGAGGAGCCCTGAGTTCGAGGAGCCCTGAGTCGAGGAGCCCTGAGTTCGAGGTGCCCTGAGTTCGAGGAGCCCTGAGTTCGAGGTGCCCTGAGTTCGAGGTGCCCTGAGTTCGCGGTGCCCTGAGTTCGAGGTGCCTTGAGTTTCGAGGTGCCTTGAGTTCGAGGTGCCCTGAGATTGAGGCGCCCTGTGTTCGAGGTGTACGAGTTCGAGGTGCTCTAAGTTCCAGGTGCCCTGAGTTCGAGGAGCCCTGAGTTCGAGGAGCCCTGAGTTCGAGGTGCCCTGAGTTCGGGGAGCCCTGAGTTCGAGGTGCCCTGAGTTCGAGGTGCCCTGAGCTTGAGGTGCCTTAAGTTCGAGGAGCCCTGAGTTCGAGGTGCCCTGAGTTCGAGGTGCCCTGAGTTCGAGGTGCCTTAAGTTCAAGGAGCCCTGAGTTCGAGGTGCCCTGAGTTCGAGGTACCCTGAGCTTGAGGTGCCTTAAGTTCGAGGAGCGCTGAGTTCGAGGTGCCCTGAGTTCGAGGTGCCCTGAGCTTGAGGTGCCTTAAGTTCGAGGAGCCCTGAGTTTGAGGTGCCTTGAATTCGAGGAGCCCTGAGCTCGAGGTGCCCTGAGTTCGAGGTTCCCTGAGCTTGAGGTGCCTTTAGTTCGAGGGGCCCTGAGTTTGAGGTGCCCTGAGCTTGAGGCGCTCTGAGTTCAAAGTGTTCGAGTTCGAGGAGCCCTGAGTTCGAGGATCCCTGAGTTCGAGGAACCCTGAATTCGAGGTGCCCTGAGTTCGAGGTGCCCTGAGCTTTAAGTGTTCCAAGTTTGGGGCACACTGAGCTTGAGGCGTTTGAGGTCTGAGGCAATGGGCCATCTGCGACTCGTTCGGCATGCACCGAGGGACGATCTGTGATTACAGCTTCCCACAACCTAAGATTTAAGCAAGAACAGCTTCGGCTGTTGTGATCTTCCAGTGATTGCAGAGGGGGACATTGGGAAAATACGTCTTTTGGGGAACTTGTTGGCTATATAGCCACAGTTCAGGGTTGTCGACAGGTACACACCGATCTGCAAATAAATCAATGGATACCAATCTCTTAAAACAATCACCGCCGCTGACTACCGTTCACCGTCAGCCGTCAGCTTCAGCGCACGGCATACGGAATCAGCCGCAGCTTCTCCAGCGTGCACCAAAGGCTGAACACGACGTGTACGCGATCAACGCCGGACTCGGCTCATGTCTCGCGATGCGTTGTAGCGACTATTGAGGAGCATTTACAAAGAAGAGAACTTGTGTTGCCTAAAGCAGCTTTTCACTTAAAAGTATACCAATAGTCATGAGTGGGCTTCATTCACCATATCTGATGCTTACCTCAATATCTTCAAATGTGAAACATTCCCATTAAGCATTTTAACACACGTTCGGGTGGGAACCAGTTTGCACCCCCACTTCCGACATAATTTTCGGGCGGTGTGGCGTGGCCGACCTATGGCAAGTCCGAATTAGGCCGAGGCATCTAGGT